GAGGCCGAGGGCGAAATGCTGAGCAAACCAGAGAACAACAGGATGTTTTGTCGTTCTTCTTCTCCCTCTTCTTCCTTCGATGCCTGGTTCAATTTTTCGTCTTCGCTTCGGCCTAGAAGCTTCTTGGCACTAGCACTGGCACTATCACTTCGCTTAAAAAGCTCTTCTCTTTTATAGTAAGAGCCTTTGTCGCTCAAAGAGAGTGATTCTGTGGAGCTACGTCTTCTTTTCCTTTTGTTAGAACCTCCAAAGAAAGGATTACTCTTTTGCTTACGAGGCATCTACCAACGCTGATATGCCACGAAAGAATTAAAAACRAAACTGAAGAAATCTAGTAGAAGTAATCAATCTTGATAAATAGCTAAACTCTGTAAATATAATTTGTTCGATCGTTCACTTAGTCACGTCCTYGTTTACAGCTCGATATGTTTTCACTGCTACGGCTCGACAATGCTCGTGACGTCAAACTTACTTGGATCAATCGACTTCCGGTGAATAGATAAATGACAGTTCCTGTCGACAGCACAACACCTACTGGTAACTTCTAAAAATGCTTTTTTACGAATATCTCCCTTAATAATAAAAAAATTAACTTAATTTTTATATAAATTAAAGATTTTACTTTTATATTTGATATAGCATGGTTTCAAAATATATATATTTTTGACGAAAATTGTGTTCCGTGTATCCTTAAAATAGTTACGACGCCAAGGACTTTTGGTCATTATGATTAGCACTGACAAACCCAAATTACTACGATCTGAAAAAGATTGGCTTAGGAGAGGATGGTTAGATGTAATTCCATGCAATAGAACAGAAAGAACACGGGTTTCCACATTCTCTCTCTCTCTCTCTCTCTCTCTCTCTCTCTCTAGAAAAAAAAGTGATTCATTCTCGCATGCAGCGGGACTATCAACTCTAGACTCAACGGTTGAGTGGGCGAATATGAACGCAGGCAACTTCCACTGTGCCGGGAAAAGAACATAAACAGCACGAACTGACCATGAATTAAGATTCACAAAATCTGTTTTCGCGAACATGGTAACAATATTTTCATTAAACCAGTATTGAAACTTGACGTTGCAAACGGTGAACTGCCCCTTCATAAGCAGTCTGCTATGCTTTTATACTAGGAAATCATTGTATTCTGTTCTAGGCTTTCCGCAAATCATTAGATCAATTTTATTGTAATGTAATGTATTTGGAAATTTGATTAAATTAAATAGTCACATGACGTCTCACATCACCATGGCTATGTTCAAGATATCCGTACTCCTTATGTCTGATCTAAGGAAGAAGGACAAAAATGACCATCCGATTCAACACCGGCAAAATTAAAGCCCTTRACCAACAGATGTCAGACTCTAAATGATGTTTACAATAACTAGATCTTGAAAATTAGCGAATCTTATAGCCAAGACCATGAACTATTCAATTTACCGAAATACCCAGCCTTTGATCAATTTAACCCAGTGTCGCATGACATGATGGAATAAGAAAGAGTGTTCCTTCAGTGTCAGTGAAAGAATTAAAAAAGTGGTTTCACAAATTCGAATTTTAATTTCCTTCGCAGTGATTCTCTCGAGAGCGTGTTTGACTTTGACTGACATACGCTTTACAATACTAATAATGTCCTTTATAATGCTGATGTGTGAATCAGTAGAATAGTTTTCTTTCTTTCTTTCTTTCTTTCTTTCTTTCTTTCTTTCTTTCTTTCTTTCTTCAGCTTTTCCTTTAACTTTCTTTCTCCCCTCTTTTTTTTCTTTTTTCTTTCATTTTTTCGTTCTATCGTTCGACTCACGCATTAACTCATTTTCCTTTCTTTTAGCATTCATTCATTCATTCACTCATCCATTCTTTCTTTCATTCATTCCGAAAAATGATAAAAATAAATGATGGCCACAAGTGTACGTYGGTCTTGATCATAAGCACACGGAAAATATTTTATTAAAAAACCGAACTGTCTTTTATTGAAAGGTTTTCTCAAAAACCTCATTTGTTGACCAGCTGGTCTATATAGGCAAAAACAAGTCCACTTAGTTCTYGGATACCATATTACAAGTTATAAAAATTTCAGTTGTTATTGATCAGTGAGTACATACAGTGTGATTTGAAGTGCATGTGTAAATATAGCTAGCTGTTTTTCCGGATTTCCACCTGCAATAGGCTATGTTTTTACACATTCTTTGCAAGATACAAACCGAAAAAATAAATTCTAACTTAAGCCAAGACTCCCGTTGCTATGACAAACAGGGAAACAAGGTCATCTTAACCAARAACAAACTGACAAAACCAGGAGATGAAATAGTGTTAGCATTCACTTGTACAGGAAACCTAAACACAAGATACTGGCAAATCTTTATTCGRTACTCAAACAAGTTTCATTACATTCAAGAACCAAACGCCGGAAATTTGCTTAAAGGTTTAATGAAATGCTTAGTCAAGTTAGTCAAGGAGTTAAAACTGAGCCTCTGTGAGGTAGAAACGGAACAAGACCTGTGACACAGAAGTCTTTGGTCATAGCTTCAGAGAAAAGGTGAGTCTCGGTATGAATTTGAAAAAGTATAGCTATAAATGAATGAGACTGAAACCAATTTCGATTAGTCACTTTTTATTTGTTTTAAAACTAGTTGAAATTTAAACGACAGTGACTCTTTCTAATTGTTTTAGCAGACAAGGTTGTTCCTACGACTTAATTATTACACTGGTATTCATTAAGATTTAAAAAAATAATTATTCGTACAGTCGACTAAAACGATTCTTTTTAGGACTTCATAGCCGGCAAGATTGTGTGGTGTTTTTCAGATCTTAGTGCAATCCAATGTAATCTAGATTGATATTATGAATAAAATTACCTAAATTCTGCTCACTATAAAGCGATAAGCACGTTTTAAAGCTTCTGGCTCAATATCCGACTACAATTGATATCAAGGGTCAAGAACTGAAGTACGTATAGTTCTCAAGCATGCACGTTTGGTTAAGGAGGAACACGCAAGAACAGGCTAGAAAATTGCGTAGGTTAGAGTTACTCTTAAATCCGCGGGCGTCCGTTATATGAACCAATCACGAACCGAGAAAGATAAACGCTAAAATATCACAGCGCTTCAATGCGAAAGTCTTTTTAGAGTCACTGTAACTCACATTTGCTACCATCCATCTCTGCAGGCAAATTTCACGTTTTTGTGTCTGTGTCGATTTTTGGAAAGAAAAGGACTTGAAAAACAATTGGAAAAGAGATAAACAATTTCCGTCGATCTCGAACCCAGAGTCTTACTAGCGCCTTCGTGCTTTGTTGTCCAAGCCTAGACTTTTTGAGTTTTTATTTTATTTTCGATCCAGAGCAGAGCGTGCTGTAACGAACGTCGCGGCGACGTGGTGTCACCACTAATCCACGCATCTTCAATGATCAAGTCCCTACTCAATGGCGCGTGCCGATTCCTGAATGACCCAGATATCCTGGTCACAGCTTTTAAGCGTTTCTACATTTGATTGCTGTGATCTGGTTTTCTGTTTCATTCTCTATATCTAAAATAAAATGGATAAAAACACTTCCATTGGACGTCTGGCCCGAGTCACGTGACATCTGACCAGACGATCGAGAGGGACTGGAATAAGATTTAAGGTAAGGTAACACGAAGGTTCTAGCTTAGAGAGAAGGGAAAAGAAAAGTAGGGACTGCAGACAACGCTGTAAGAAATCATGATACTAATAACCCGTTGCCTACACAACTTTTCTTCTCCATTCTCCCAGTGTATTCGGCTCCAATCTYCGCGCCTGTCCACAGGAATCCCAAAACAGTCGTCTTTACTGAGCCTAGAGGGAAAAGTGCGACTGCTCGCAGTCTARTGATCGGTTGAATTAGGTAATGCCGCTTTCTCCCACATTATTTCTAACTGTTTTTCGCATTATTACTTTACTGTGTTCTCTAACAGCACACAAATTTTGGTTAATGTCGATTCATGATTACCGAGATAATATCCTTCTAAGATAATACCTAGAATGATCTTATTTAAACCGTGAAATAATAGTACGCATAATAGCTAGTAGTAGACTCTAGACCCATTCTTTTCTTTTCTTTTTTTAACTAGTACCAACTAAATAGTCGTTTGRTTTCCTAGGGTTAAATAAAATCACTCTAATATTCTTTATTAACTGGTTCATAAGATAGTTTTATAATCTGATTGTCRGAACTAAAACCAAAGACTTCTTATGGCGTTGTTTACTACTGTCTCGAGGCAGGAGCCGACGGTTATCATAACCAATCAACGGCACCGGCCATCAACAGTCTGCGCAACTGTTTTTATTTTTCCCCTAACCTCCCTCCTAACGACACCGCAAAAGTGACAAGACCATAGATTACTAATAGTGCTTTTGCCCATTAAGATAATACACACGTGTTACTGGTTTATAAGGTGGTATCTATGGTAAGTTTTATTGATGTAGTGCGCACCTAACCTCCTAACGACACTAACAAGGGCCGCAAGAGTGACAAGACCATAGATTACTAATAGTGCTTTTGACCATTAAGGTAACACAAATGTGTTATTGGTTCATGAGGCGGTATCTGGTAAGTTTTATTGATGTAGTGCGCACCTAACCTCCTAACGACACTAACAAGGGCCGCAAGAGTGACAAGACCATAGACTACTAATAGTGCTTTTGCCCATCAAAGGAACACACGTGTTAGGTTTATAAGGCTGTATCTGGTTAGTTTTATTGATGTAGTGCGCACCCAAACGAAGCATGGATTATCTGTTCACACTGAGACGTGATTGATTATTCCAAATTATAGATCACTTCAGCGGTGTTATTAACTGATTTATGAGATACGTCATTAGGGAGCATTAATTATTTGGGAGAGGGTGGGTTGGAGAAATCCAGGGAAGGGCCATTAAATTTCTACTCAGTCAAAAAGGGGGTCATCAAATATTTCATACTACATAAAGGGGAGGGACAAGAATTTAACAAATTTCAAGGGGATGGTCACTTTTTTATGTAGTCTGAAGAAAAGGCGGGGTCTAAAGATTTGACATTACTGTTGATAGGAATTCCTCCGGCCCACCCCCTCCTAAATAATAAATGCTCCCTTAGTTGTAAATATCCGTTATTGACTTGCTGTGCGCACTATTAGTGCATATAGAGTCTGCCGTATAGATATCTTTTGTCKTACATGTTTTTTCATAGATTTATGAAGATGCATAAATACTGATAAACACGTACGTATATTGTTTAGCTCGCCTATGTGGTAATAGACCTAATGTTTTCCCATTTCAGACCACACGTTTAATTCCCTAGATCATTTTATTTCTTTGTTTAATGTTTGCGCAAGAGAAGATGCATAAATATGGATACAACTCAAAGTATCTCATTCTCAAGAGAATGGCACGTGGTCTGAAATGGATAAAACTTTACGCTCAATCTAAAGAGGTCTAGGGCAGTTTTCGTATGACTGTGAAAAGCTCGGTGCCATATGCGTGTCTTGCCGCGACAGTGATGTTTTCTAAAATTTTGATTAGCAGATTTCTTTTTGCGAAATGTAATTGGTTTRGCAGTACCGTGACCTTGGCGTGACCGTGTCCCCGGCTTTTGATTGGATGAGAGTAATTYCTAGCGCAATTTGATTGGTCTGGCGTATGCCTTGCCGCGTCAAGACCGCGTTTGTGTCAGGAGTTTTTGAAAGTCATACGTGATACGAAAACTGTTCTGCAGATGGTTTATTATGTTAACTAATGTAAAAGACCACGCTATGTGGACTGCTAGTGCACATGGAGTCTGTTTCATATCATTTCTTAGACGTTTTTTTGAAATAGATTCACGAAAAGTGGCGCAGAAAGACAAATGGATACTATCTTTAAGGCGCCTGTCAAAGGCAGCCTGCGTTAGTTAGGTCGGCTGCACGCAGGCTATTCAAAGRAGGATCTTCTAACAATTAATTTTTTGCTGCAGTATCTTAAAGAGCAATAGCTAAACTGAAAATCACCAAAATTTAATAAATTTCCGATGGTTTAGCGGCGCCTCAAATTACATAACATTTTGACCAACTGTTTACATCACATCGTGGTAAATAAGAGACTATAACATCGGAAATTCGTTTTTTTTAAACTAAAATAAACGCAAAGAGTTAAAAGCAAAACGGTTTCTATCGCGCGCTGGCTCTGTGTGCGAGCGATTCGTAATTTGTTGGTATATCTTCTTATTTATCACGCTTTTCGACCAATCAGAAAGCGAGAAAATTTCATTTGTAGTAAAAAGTACGACCATGAACCAGGATCTATACTATACTATGCATGATAGTGCTGTGTCTTGTCAGGATATCTGTCCAGCATAGGTACCTTCGTGCTATGTCAAACACCCCAGTAGTCATCATGATGCATCTCGCTAATATTTGAGGTCGTAGTCATTCCTTCTATGACTGATCATATGTCCAGCATAGGTACCTTCGTGCTATGTCAAACACCCCAGTAGTCATCATGATGCATCTCGCTATCCATCGAGGTCATCGTCAGTACGTCTATAACTGATCATGTGTCCAGCACAGGTTCTTCGTACTGTTATACACTCTAGGAGTTATCATGATGTATCTCGCTAATAGCCATCGTGGTCATCTTCAGTACTTCTATAACTGATCATGTGTCCAGCACAGGTTCTTCGTACTGTCATACACTCTAGGAGTTATCATGATGTATCTCGCTAATAGCCATCGTGGTCATCGTCATTCTCTTCCCTCTTTTTTTCAACCCAGGAAAACAAAAACTCAACAGATTAAAAAACTCGCGTTTGTACTTTTCGTTGAGCGTGACATACAGACAAGGGTTGATAGCGCTGTTTGCGTGACACAAGAAGAACGCAACATTCTCCACGTAAGGAGCAGTGGCAAGCAGTCGCCAGAACAAAGGAGTGTTGTAATATATCACCAGGTGCATTAAATGCGCCGGAAGCCAACAAAGTGCAAATACCATGACTACTATCGTGAGCATGCGCAGGACCTTCCGCTTTGATGTCTGAGCTTTYTGTATGCTTTTAGCCGTTGAATGTCCAGGAATCTTACGCGATGAAAGTTTTTTCCCAATCCTAATATACAAGGACGCGATCAGTACTAATGGTACCGCGTAAAGTCCAATCAAAGTAAACATGAAGAAACTACGCGCAAATTCAAATTGCTTGGTAGGTGATGTAGAAATAATGTCCCATACCATTCGACAGTCCCAACCTTGCCCGTCATTTGCTTTAGCGACGTCAAAGATCAGGAGGTAAGGAAACATGAAGAGCGCGGAGAAACTCCATATCAATGATGTTATGATCTTGGTGTTGCGTATGACTGGTAAGTGTTTGAAGGGGTGKATGATAGCAAAATAACGGTCCAAYGATATGGCTACTAGTGCAATGATTGACGCCGCAATGGAAAGGGTTCCTGAGAAGTTTACCCATTTACAAGAAACCACGCCGAAACCACCATTGATCCATTTTTGACCAGCATATAAAAACTTCACCTGATATAGAAGAAGAAAAGAGTGCTTTAGTCCTATCAATATTTCGCAGTTAGAGCCATTTGTATGTAATGGCCCTAAATAGACTCTTCCACAGTCTCTCGCTCGTCCGTTCCGTCTCCACSCTTAGAGACTATAACGGTACAATGACCGAAAGGACTTATGGGTTTCAAAAACTYGGACCCGGCGTGCTTTGGGAACCAAATACTCGTCTACAGTCTCTCTCGTTTCAATATTTTCAAGATGGCGGCGAAAGCTCTTGTCAATCGAATATTCTCGAAGGCAGCATTTTAATGTGCGGACACAATAACCAGGACCACTTGAATATAACTGACCAATCAGATAACAGTAAACTAGACAGAGATTGAACTGATAACAGTGTTAGCCAATCAGATTATCATGTTCTCACGCTCTTATTATGTAGATGCGCTATCTGATTGGCTGGTTAAAAAATATCAAACCATGTCGCAATGTGATTGGTTAATGGTACTAACTTATCATAGTGGTCCCGGTTGAAGTATCCGCACAGTAACCAGCTCGATCTTTCAGACCGATATTGCTTAATGTACGTAAAAACGAATCAGTCACTCTTTCCGCCAAAAAGAATACCAGTGTTGATGAGTTTGAATCCAGTAACTAATTTAAAAACAAAATGATATTTTGAAAACAAAATTAAAAACCTTATCTGGATATTTGTGATTCTAATCCACGTCTACCTACTGAACTTCAAAAATTTWATTGATTCCACTTTGCCATACCCCCGAGACAATTTGCCATACCCCCGAGACATCCGCAGAAACTGAGGCGTCGTATGAACTTCGGCGGGCGTGACGGGGGAATTAAGACCTTTCACCTTTGGGTGTACGGATTACGCAGGATAATGTTCTAGCCGTGATATCAGGGGAGATACAAGTCGGCCCTCAGACGTACCGTACCTACAGCTAATCCCTTGTACTATCTGGCTGCAACGCACATAGATTGAGGTAGGGAGGGAGGGTAGAGTACGAAATGGTCCTACTCACCTGTATCGGCATGATAAGAACACTAACGAGAAGATCCGCGATCGCCATGTTGACGATCAAAAAGTTAAACGTAGATTTCATGTACGAACGAGAAGCGACCACGTAAATCACCAAAGCATTGCCAAGCAGCGCAACAACAAAGATGATTGAATATGCAGCTGTCATAGCAACCACAGCAAGGGCCTGTCCTGATAAGGTCGCTGTGGAATTGGTCACTAGCAGAGAGAGAAAGAGAGAGAGAGAATAAGAGAGTGAGGGATGATTAGTAAAGGTATGTGTTCCAGGGGTTGGTTGGTGGTGGGGGGTTGGGATGGGACGGGAGAGGGGGCTTTTCTTAGACGTTTTCAAAAGATATCTTTAAAAGCTACTGGCGACTGTCGTTAGCTAGCGCAATTTTGAAACCACAAAATTTGATCCAATTTGATCCTTCTATTGTTTTAATGAAGGTGCCTATAACAGCAGTGGCGGCGGTGCTTGAAGATGAAGTAAAACTCACTACTGTGCTTGCAAGCGTGTGCGCAGAAGGGGTGCCACTACCATGACGATGACAAATCGAATGCGCATGTTGATGAAACAGCACGGCACGTAACTGGCATGCCATTTAAACCAATGAGAGCGCAAAAAATTAATGCTCAGCCAATGGAAATGTGTGTACACGGTAACGTCACGATCATGGCCGTAACGTGAGTTTTTCACTTTCAACCACATTTTTTCTTATAAATTTACTCCTCAGTAAATTGAAATTGCCTCCGGCGGCGTTACTCGCGGTCAGTCACAGTACAAATTGAGAACTTTGCAAAAAAACTCTCACTCACTAACCTTACCTTTCATGACTGCACTCAAACTCCAATAAACATTACTCAAAYTTCAATGTGATTCAGAATGATAATTTATTTCACTAAGAAGGGATTAGTGTTTTATAGGAGATTTCTCGACAATTTACCTGGGTCGAATTCCAATGACTAATTTAATTTCTCACATGATTGAATACTTTTACGCGTTGGTCTGCCATTGACCGCGTAAAAATTTTTATAACCTTCAGGAAAAAATAATCCGGCTGTAGTTTCAAGAGTGATATTGAAAAGCGTATTTCAATTCTATTCAAACACTTTCGAACTTTGATTTTCAACCTCTTGTTATTTCTCTCTCTCGGCATATTGGATTTTTAGTGTTGGTCAATGTTCTTGACGAGTAGTGCAAGGACATAGAAACCACGAAAGCTYCCCCAGTCAGTTTGCTTCCAAGAGGAAACAGCGAATGAAAATCTATKGTAATCTTACCTCTGCTGCTGCTGTTGTCCATGATATATGAAGTAGGCTCGAAAAAAAGTCTTTTGTGTCTAAGAAAGCCGGTTATTCAGCACATAAATGACCGACAATCCTTCCAAATTAGTCCCCACGCCAGTATTATACTCTTTTCATAGGTTTTAATGAGCTTGATGGTTTCTTTGCTGCTATTGAATTCTGTGAATGAGAAAAAGAGTTTCGGTTAAGTTGATTAATTTCCAATTATGAATACACGGAACTCGCTAACAGTGTAATTATTAGACGTTCGTTTTTGTTTTCTTTTTGTGCGAGGAAAAAAGAAAGAAAAGCATATCTATCATTAGTAAGCACGTACTCAGAAATGCGTACATGTTTAGAAATCATTCAATCTTGTTAGGAATTATGTGGAAAGAAAAAAYACGACGTCTTTCAATTCCGTACCGATTATACAATGTTTGTGAACTTGGCGCCAGAATGACGATATTTTTTGAAGAAAGTTTGGAACAAATTTGGAAAAAAATATGTGTTATTGTTCAAGCCACAGGAAACTAAAGTTAAAATTCGTCAAGATAGGATGGAACTGTGTTGTGTTAGCTGTCTGTTTGCACGGCTTAGCTGAAAATCTCTTTCATCTCTAATTCACTCACTTTATATTTCAGTGTCTCATGTTGGCTTCGCATTAGTATTCCAAAGGCTACGCACGTAACTCTGTTTTAATCCAGGAATGATATTCCTAATAGTTATTTTAGTATTCTCAATTGGTACTAAATACTCGATGATTGCCAAGTCGGCCACCGGAGACGCGTCAATATCAGTCTATACTTCACTCTTCACGGCAAAAAGTTGAAAGAAAAATCGCTGAGAAATCCCCAAAATAGTATCAGTCCAAATCGTTATATTACCTCATTGAAGTTAAGAGATAAAGTACCCGTCAAAGTTAATGGAGCGTGCAATATCAGAATATGACAAGTGTATCTCAAAGAAAAGGTGGTTGAGATGAGATGAGATGAGATGATATGATATGAGGTGGTATGATATGATATGAGGTAGTATGAGATGAGATGAGATTAGTAGACTTGAGTTGACTTATTTTAGTCATGTTGTGTGATTTGTGGTTTTGTTCAAGTGCATGCGACTCAACACTTTGTAATTAACATGTTAATAAGATCGTAAAAGCAGAAAAAAACATTGATATAGTGGTGCATTTTATAAACAATGATGCTGTTTCAAAGATTAGAACTGAACRAAGAGACAATTCTCCGGTCGTAATTTGGGCGGTTTAGAAGTGGTCTATGAAACAAAGAAGGGGTTTTTAAGAGTTGCCACTTTTATGACTTATTGAAAAAGGGATTGTSGTGCGTTCACGAACGTTTCGAGTTTCATATATTTTTAAAACGACTACAAGAGAGTCATATAATTTTAAAACGACTACATAGGAGTCTCGATGTGTAGCGCCTTTGAAAGAATCGATAAAAGTCTGAAAATTAGTTGAAGGAAAGTAATTGTAAGAGCTGAGAAGAAATATTTAGCGATTATTCGCCGAAGGCGAAGTGCTGACGATTATCTGTGAATATATTTAACGAGCCATCAKAACGGAGCATTAGGGGAATAGTTGTTTTATGATATATAATTTTAGACTTGAATATCAGAGAAAAGACGAAATTAAGGATAAAAAACGTTTTTGTTTTACTTCCACTCTGACAAACTTTGGAAAACCTCATAATCACCGCTCGAGCAGTGATTATCGTCTCAGAATCACTTCAAAGATACAGTGAACGAGAACTCGAGAACTGGACAAGAACATCCAGGAGAGGAGAGGAGAGGAGAGGAGAGGAGAGGACGGGAACGAGAGAGCTGGATTCACAATGACCATTTTAGATCGTTAGGGAACGACCTTGGAAGGTACATCGAACATGCACTTATAGGGGCAATGTATCATTTTCCCGCCAATAAAAACGCGTACGTGTTTCATCTTAAGAGTTTCCCATCATATACAAAAGTTCAGTAAAACGTTTTGCTCCCCGGCCCTTGTTACGTTACTGACGTCGAAGCTGAGATATTAAGAGATGCTATTAAAAAAAGGCGGTTTGGTGGCAAATACTCTACTTTGGCTCCTTCATTACATGTCAACATTCATCCATAAATACGGCGACATGACGCAAGTACCATCCATCAACATTCAATATTAAAACCTTTTTCAAACTGAGACTGAGAAGTACTAGTAGAGTGCACGCCATATATCCATGAAAAACTTTGTAAGAAATTGTACAAACTTGCACAAATTAGTAAGTTCAGTAGACCTCACCAGGCCGTAGACCGGGCGGACAGACCTACAACACTTTGCACTAATTTGTTGTAGCAGTAGCAGTAGCAGTAGCAGTAGCAGTAGCAGTAGCAGTAGTAGTAATTAGAATATCTGCATGAGAAAGTAGTATATGTAGCATTACGTTGCTTTGTAAACTTTGTATATTATTATCACAACTTGCAAGTATGTTTGAACACGTTCAAAGGAAGTCATCACAAATTGGCGTCAAGATTGCACTCATAAAATTGCAATTACTTAAGCTATTAGGAATATCAGGGTATACTCTCACGTTTTGCGCCTTGCTCTTCAAATAAACGTACACCCCTTCATAACAAGCACACTCAATACGCAAATACTACCTAGCAAAAAATYCATGAGGGTCAATAGACCTTTTCACGGTTTCCGACGCCATATTTCTTGGGGGGCAAAATTACTAAGGAGCGTAGGGGAAAGAGATACGTTTTTCGTTACATTTCCTTTCYGAGGTAAATTTTCGAGACCAAACTTTTTCTTTAGATGGAGAATCAATCCTCTGTTCAATATTTTGTGYGCTGTTCATGAGCCGATGGAGCCAGCATAACACTGGTTCTCAGAGAGACGGAGGCTTTGGGTTTTGCGAGTTTTGCGACTCAATCATACTGGTTCAATTTGACCGTAAAAAAAATCTTGCCTCTACAAGAATGACTCGATCGGCTCAAAAACGTCACAAAACATTGAACAGAGGATTCTCCGTCTACAGAAAAAGTTTGGTCTCGAAAATTTACCTCAGAAAGGAAAWATAAGGAAAAACGTATCTCTTTCCCCTACGCTCCTTAGTAATTTTGCCCCCCAAGCAATATGGCGTCGGAAACCGTGAAAGGGTCTACTAGGATACTATCTTTTGCGGATTCTCCTTCTATACCTGGTACAAACGATTTTATGTCTTTTCTTAGCAACTCTTTATCGATCGTTTTCATTTATGTTCGTCTAATAGCCTAAGTATCAAACTTATATATCTCTCACCTACCCCTAATGTTATGTGTTTAGTTTTAGATCGGTCCTGGTTTCCTGGTCTCTATCAGAATAGTTCCATGATTTTGAACAAAACCGCCTACCGACAGGAAATATTTTACGCGTCTTGAAGACCGCCCTTTGGCAAGACCGGCAAATATCGCATCATTGAGTACATAGTAATTAGGCCCCTTGACTAGCGCTCAAGCACTTATACACCTATTTCAGAAATCGTTGTCGCACCAAAAGCCTCAAGCAACMAGCCAAGACCTCAGAGARCGCCGGTACTTTTAGCTGTAATTAGTTTATTCATGGTGCATTTTCATTTATTGACTTCACAAATTGCTCCAAGCAAGGCTGCTTGAGATGACAATTATTGGAGAGATACAGCCACTTGCATGAACCAAGAATAAATAAATTCTAATTCAAAGTACCGACGTTCTCTGGAGCCTTGGCTAGTTACTTTAGGCTCTTGGTGCGACAACGATTTTCGAAATAGGTGTATATKGCAAAGCCTCTAAGCAGAGTTTCACTCTTCCCCTACCCCCCTCCCCTTGGGCCTGAAACTTATGCTTGAAGCACGCAGATCGAATCCGACAGGGTGTCAGTGCGCTCTTATTTATATACGAGTATATGAGTTTTTCATCTTATTGAAAAAAGAAAAAAAAACGCCTTATAATTCTACCGTAGATTTCCAGACGAAATCAGGGATTAATTCACGAGTGAATAATATTGATACCGGGATTAATTTTTCGTAGCATTTTAAACATATCTGACAAATAATCCTCAGCTAAATTACAATCACGGCAAGAATAAGAGACGTTTTAAGCCCAGAACTGAGTTACTTTGACTGCCATAACTACGGCAAGCTTTTCATTCTTTTTTTTCTGATCTCTTATCAACTCCATATTTACCCTCAGTCGCGAATTCCATTTCTAAACTAGTGAGAGAATGTCTGAGTRCTGACTGTTGTCAGTAGAGATTAGGCACGGGATTTTGATGAGTGTTGACGATCATGAATYGGGCTCATCTGGCTGATAAAAATGCTATATTTTACCTGATTAGTACATGTTTCTTCAAAAAGTGACGGTTAAGCATGGACTTCAGGATCTTGCTTGTCTAGTTCGAATTTCAAGCTTTATGATCTGGCTTATACAGGCTTCAAAGGCGGACAGCCTTCATCCTGTTGGACCTGTTGTATCCACAGTCAGATTATYCACTACATTAGCAAATCATTGCAGATTTGATGAAATAAGTTTTGAAGGCCAAGATCAATCATTGATAAGTTAAAAACCTTGAGGAAAACCAATAGGATTGATGCGTCTTCGTAGCTCAAAAACACATGCGCAATCGAGTAGAATTGATGTATTACTCCCGGCCTAATCAATCGAACGAAATCGAACGTTCGATTCYATCGATTMCAATCGAATGATTCAGTTAAATTCGATTGCATTGGGTAATCGAATTAAATCGAAAATGGAGCCAATAAAACCTAATCGAACATTCGATTACGTTCGATTGTAATTTAGGAGCGATTTGAGTCAATCGAGCACAATATAACATTCGATTTTGTTCGAATGCCGAATGCAATCGAATCCARTCATGTGATTGCGTTCGATTGAATTCGATTTCCGAGTCGATTGATTTCGCCGGGATTACTTCCTGTGTTTTGAAGAAAAACTGGACAACATCTATGCCGGGTACTTCTGACGCTAAGCCACTTCAAATCAAAGCTCTTCACTTTATTACGCTTCTTTGATATTGTTTTAGGAAAGCATTTCCATGCGTCGGTRAGCCATGTAAATGTTTTTAGAGTTACACACTTGAAGACACGGCTTGATATTAGCTTTGGATCAAGGTCTTTCTCTAGTATAAGTGAGGTAGTAGTTTAATACACTTTATGATAAATAAAAGGAAAAAAAAATAATAGAAAATTAGATTAGGAAGAAAAAAGKCGTAGATAAGATCGGAGGAAATGAAGGAGAATATGAATATATAAGGATTCGATTGGAGAATCTTATACGAATTAAGGACACACGGAACAATTACCGGGAGAATAAAGGAAAAAAAGGAGAGATATGAGAGAAGAGAGGAAAGTTCGTGAAGTAGGCACTTGAACCTGCGGTAAGTGATAAAGAAAGGAAACTAGAAAGAGATAAAAATGGAATAAAGAAAAGAAAAGAAAAGAAAAGAAAAGAAAAGAAAAGAAAAGAAAAGAAAAGAAAAGAAAAGAACGATCGAGTAGAAGTTAAAAGGAAATTTGAAGAAAAAGTTTAAGTATTGCTTATGTGGTGGTTAGCTGTCCGTGAACACTCGAGTTGGCATCYGATTATGAATCGAAAGAAACAGTAGAATTCGATTTACACGTATTGAAAGTCTATAAAAGCTATTCAAGCCGATGAAATGATGAAAGAGAAAGAAAAAATAAAAGTATATTTACTCAAATAACAAAATGAAATAAAAGAAACTCGTATGTTCACGTTAAGAGTAGAACGACAGTAAARTATTCGTAGTATAAAACCATTTTTCCCTGAGAGGGGTAGGGGTACCGTCGGGTTCTGAATYCATCCTTTACCCTACTGAGAAAAGAATATCTCAAAATGAACATACCCTGTTAAAGATACAACAATGTGAATTTAATTACCCTACATAAGAAAATCCTAAGGGAGTGTAGCTGTGTTAATAGTGGTCTGGAAATACTGAACGCCGGCACAGGTGGAAGCTACGCGCTAAAACTGATTCTTTGGGGCGGCTAAAAAAGAGTTTTAACAAAAGTTAAAATTGAATACCATAAAGCAAGATAATGCTAACCTATCAAAGGCGAATGAGCGTGGAGATTTGCACAGGTCAAATTGTTTTTGATTTGCTTCCCACATCCATGGAACTAAAAWAAGCTGCATAAATTCATCGACGCATATATCTTACATGTTAAGTTAATTCCACGCTTATCAGTCGCGGCGGTAACCTGCGCGGTACTCTCACATACATGAAAAAGAGACATTTAAATGATATTGCCAAACCACCGAGCGACACTYGAAACCAAGTCTGTTGTCATGTAAGCAGTCTATACAATAATAAATGCCTTTTAAGATTTTAAAGAGAAGTGTAGATAATTGAAAACATTAGCGGGAACTCTGAAGTAATATGGAGTCACAATAACGGCAAGCATTCAAAGTTAGGTCGTGCGACTGAGAATATGTTGTCTTTTTATAGCAAGCCCTGACTGGAAGWCCGATCTTATCTTTATTATCAGAATCATACATATAAGTTGAATGATGTTCTGACCATTACATGAAATTCGAAACGGCAAGGCCAAAATGTAATGTAGAGAAGTTAATGACCTTATAAAGGATAAAGCAAGCCGAGGGAAATAAGTAAAGGCCTAATTTAAAATCCAACTTCAACAAATAGGTGCTTACTTGGTGAAGTTAACGTGAAGAGCCACATGAATAGCTTAGATAAGCACTGCTCATTGGCCAATCAGGAGAGACGGCTTAATTGCCAAAACTTAGAGTTATTCGTAGACTCGTTTCCTCTTCCGAGATTCAATTGGCGCTGAAAGGGGATTTCAAGTTTTAAGTGGGATGCATAAGTGTTACGATGCATACAGTTATTGAAATCAACTGTTCCTGATTGCGAAACTGGTCACGTGATTTTTGACAGTTTCGTGGGCTACAGAGGCTCTGTGAGACTTTGCACGTAGGGTTATCAGAAAAAGGAAAGAATTTCCAGCTGTCCAAAATCAGGAGAAAAAGTCAGAATTTTTGTCAGCGAATTGATAACGTGCAACTGTTCTCTTTTCTGTTAGAACGCGCCTTTTTTGGTCCAGTACAATGCTATACAGCATGTGTACAATCTTGGTTTCACGATCTTATTGATTTATATCCTCGCTACAATAGTATGATGAGCTAGCATAGTGTAGTGCTAGCAAGCAAGTTGHTCACGATCTTATTGCGTTGATATCTTCACTACGATAGTGTGAGCTAGCGTTGTGTAGTACTCACATGTGGGCAATTCTGTTTTCACGATCCTATTAAGTTAATGTCTATATTAGTGTGAGCTAGCGTAGTGTAGTGCTAGCATGTGCGCAATTCTGCTTTCACGAACCTTTCTGAGTTGATATCTTCGCTACAATAGTGTGAGCAGTGCTAGTATGTGCGCAATTCTTTTTTCACGATCCTATTAAGTTGATATCTGYGCGGCAGTTGTGTGAGCCAGAGAATCAATCTGCGTTTGTTAGACGAAACAGTTGTTAAGATGCACTGCCGATACTTACTCTTCTCCCATGTCCAACTTATTTAGATTCCGAGGTTTACTTTCCACGTCTTTCTCTTGTTATCTCCACGACGTTGGATCTAAATTGCTACAAATCCGCACTTTTACACCTTTTATATCTATGCAGCGGAGAATCCTTACAAATATCTATAAGAAACAAGTCCGGGCTATTTCTGGAAAGCGGAAAGAAGTGATTACACCCCACGTGTAGCAGGGAAAGTATCCTTAGTTGTCGATAATATATACTTACAAGGACATGTATTTTTATTACGTACATGGACGCGCTTGACGTAAAAGCTTTTCCTCTGAAGACGACGTCATAGAAAACTTTTTAACCWCTTTTTCACGATTCACTTTTTTTCTTGATCGCACATGACCCCTTGTAGAGAAGCTGCGCGGAACTGGGAGCTATAGGTGTGGTGTTTTTAGGAGAGCAGCTAGAGGAGCCTACATTAATGCTTACGAAACAAAATCATTGATGATTTCAAACTGATCCTCTTGACTAAGCCTAAATTTGTTGTAGTGCAGCTTTGCGATAGATCAGGAAAGCCTCTGATTGATCGATTCAACTAATTCGATTAACAAACGTAGATGGTTGGATTTTCCTGATAAACAAAAGTATATCAGATTGCAGCAGATGAAAATCACATTTCTTCACCTCGAAATGACTAATATTTTGGAATCTCAGGAGAAAATTTAGCGCGGAATGTTCTTGTGTTTATTTCGTCAGAAATAGCGAAAGTAAACAAGCAAAATGATCTCTAACTCGCATTTTGGGAAGGACATTATTTGTCGTTCATAAAAAGAAACGACAAAATGCCACAAAGAAAAGATAAAATCCAGAACCAAGGATCAATTTCAATATCCCTTGAAATCTTGAATCTTGACCGTTTTTGACTGTAATGAATGTAGTTTTAGTCAGATTTAATCAACAAACGAGAAAGCCATTTCGATTATAGACATTGATTCAGGTTCAGCAAACACAGGGTGAATTATAGCAAGATCCCCTCTAATTGATCATTAGAGATCACTGAAGACATTTCACGATTGTTGAACCAGTCAGTACTTTGCAGTACGTGTAGTTTTAAAGCCTCATATACTCAGAGGACTAACAAAGGTTTGAACAAAAATGAGAGAAAAAGAGAGCTCGAGATTTTCGTTTAGGCGTGAGAAAATGAAAAAATCTAGTAACAAGTCAAACCATTCAAACATAAAAACAGGTTGGCCGTTGAAAACTCAAGCCAAATTCAACTCACCTCTCAAAGACTGAAAGTTCCAGAAACCTCTAAGAATAGATTGAAGTTCAAAGCTTTCGGGGCTTCTTCGACGGCAGCCGGTCCTTGTGACAGGCCCTATAGGTATCGATGYATAACCATTAACGATAATGCAAGGTTAAAAGGCGAAAAATGATGTAACATGATAACCGCGGTGTCTCAGTAGAGATTGTCTCGACGCGCGAATGTTGTGTGGCGCTGCAGTTTCTATTGAATGCAAATTACCTTCCATGATGTCAACAGTTTCCAAACCCGTCTTTCACCATTTTACATTACTTTCCTAATAATCCGCATAGATACGACAATTCAATAATTGGATCCCATCTGACTTGTCATAATGTGAGTGTGCCATGACCTAGCTCGTGCAAACAGCATTCATGCCACAGGTTTACCGTAACTAAGGTTTAAGAAAACAAACCAAATGGGTCTCCTCACGTTTTCTTTGATCAGAAAAATTAACAACTCGCTTTAAATCAACAGAAAAATAATTACAAAAATGCAACACATACTCTGAACTCGTTGAAACGACGCCTTGAAATTGGCTGTCTCGTTGAAGGAGCCATACCGGCGACCTCGAAAAGCACTTTACGTTTTAGACAATCACTTGAGTTATCCCAATAACCTTACCGAAAGAAATCCACCTTTAAGGCGGRCATTTTCAATAAATCCTTTCAGATTTTTGCCATCAAACCGTATRAATAAAGTCCGAAGAAATCCTCTACTTAGGCACAATCAATATGTATTTGAACTGTTTTTATGGTGCCTGAATTTTTTTTTTTTTGATTTATAATCTTTAGATTTGAAAAATGGTTGTTATCAGACAGTTATATCTTTAATGGAATTCAATTAGTCCTAAGTGGTTTCTTTATACCCGCTGAATTTGGCAAAACGCTAAGAAAAACTTTAAAATAGTGGATTTACTGTATAAACAGTCAGATATTGATTTGTCTTAGTCCAGAATGGAGATAAGATATATGGAATCAAATTGGGGCATTTTTGAARGGGCTTTTACCGAACGACGGATGTTCGGCCTTAAAGTCCACTGAGTGATGATCAATTAGAAATGTTCGCTCCCTTTAACGATTGTTTTTTTTCTTCTTCTTCAATTTTTAGTACAGAGAGAAAATGTACTTCGTAATGAAATGAAATTAGAATAAGTTGTAGAGTTATTGGAAGAAAGAAAATATGAAAGAATGGGAGGATAGGTGGATGAAAAGAAGCAAAAATAACAAAGGTAAATGYACTTGGTTATAGAAATCCCTAAGGTAAACTTTCAGATGGCAAGATATCAATCAAAGATCCGTTACTGCCTTCCCATTCTCATCACTTTATCAACTGTCAACAATATACTTTGACAGGTGACTTATGAAAGTGTAACCTGAAACACCTTACGGGCTTCCTGTGGTTTATATAACACAGGCAACCCAATAGTGTTGATAGCCGACATGGCGGATCTAGAAGAAGAAGAAGGATCGTCCTTCAACGTTAGAGGTCAGTTGTGCATTTACTTGCACCAAAAACTATTATCTTAGCAAATAAATGTACAGGAATTATTAAATATCGATGAATTTAAAACTTAAGTACATCAAATTCTTGAAATATTAACGAGGTATGACAAAAAATCCATGCTTTTTGAGTAATATGTTCTTAAAAATGTAAGCTTACCTATCGTGGTTACTTCAATTCTTCTTYTTTTACAGATAGACTTATATCACCAACACATTCAAGTACAAACGCTACAAAWCTTGATGAGGAATTTGAATTAATCCAACCCGTCAATTTTAGGTATTTATAACGGACTGGTTGGCTATGTCGGCTAGCTGGATAATTGTTTTAGATGAAAAGGTCATTTCCGCTGTCATTTGTGAATCTTATCTCTCGTTCTCCTCATCTCATTTTTATATCCTAATTTGAGTTTTTGCCATAAATAATGTGACTAAAAATTAAACRTACTTCGCAGGTATGGCAGAAAATAGTATTGATGAGGGATATTGGGTCAGGTTGGTGGGTGTTGGGGAAGAAAAGCAAAACATGGCAATAGCCATTCAGGTCTTCATTAATGGCAGATTGAGATTTGTGGTTCTGACTACTAATGCCAACCCCCCCCCTAACACCCCTCCCCCTGGGCAAGGGTTTACTACTGCTGAGGATCTCAAATATGATGTTTTTACTTTACATTTTATGGTAATACAGCCAACCACTTGGTTGCTGTAATATTTGTCCAGGTAAAACATTGATGGTTTTGGCRTCATTTCTGGCTGGTCTTGGTGGTATTCTCTTTGGTTATGATATTGGTAAGAAGACTGTGTCTATAAATTTCTACCATTAGTCATTAGGCAGTCAATGATGCATTCATTTATAAGGTACCATTCATTTTTTAGGAGGGRGTGGGAACGAGGAATCTCTATAAACAGTGATGTAAAATCTTTAGACTCCCCCTTTCTTCTGTCTGCGTAGAAAAGTGACCCCCCTTTGAAATTTGTTAAATTCTTGTCCCTCTTGTAGTATGAAATATATGATGAAATGATAATTTTTTTTGGATAACAGCATCAACTTATCCACTGGATAAGTATTTAACCATTGGATACCATCAGTCATTCAGTCCGTCTGTCCATCCCTGTCTGTCCATCCATCTATTTTCTGTCTATAATATTATTTGATGATATATTGCCTTTTCCATCCTTAGGTATTGTATCTGGTGCTGTATTGCAACTACGGAAAGAATTCACCCTGAGTTGTTTCCAGCAAGAAATGATTGTCAGTTCAATGTTGATTGGTGCAGTGTTAGCTTCTCTTACTGGAGGTAAAACAATCAGTCAGTGAATAAAAWTATTCAAAGGCCTTTATCTGCTGATTGAAACCAGCAACAGTTCATTGATGGGATTTTATTGTTTTTCTTTTAGGATTTATTGTAGATTTTCTAGGTAGACGTCGTGCTATCATCATAAACTCTGTTATCTTCTTGGTTGGTGCTATAATATTAGCAGTTGCTCAGAGTTATCCAGTTCTGGTAAGTAAACTTTATTGTGTTATTCACCACTTTCCATACATCGGTTTAATGGTCAAATACAAAGGTCACAAGGTTCAAATTTATAATATCCTTTGAAACCACCTTGTAGCCTTTTTTAGGTGCTTCATGCTTGAGCAAGTAGTRAATGATTTGCTTTTTTTTTCTAATGCTTTTCCTGTCCTCTTGTGGACTAATGTTTCCTATTTCTAATTACCTTAATTATAATTTTATTTTTACCAACGACATCTATGTCACTCCATTCCTTCTGATYCCATCCCATGTCATCCMATCCCATKYCATCCCATCCCATGTCATCCCATCCCATGTTATCCCATCCCATGTCATCCCATCCAAATCCATTCCATCCTATCAGATTCCATCTTAATTGGTTTGTCCCTTTCCCATCTCATCTAGTCCTTCTATCTCTAATCCCCTTAGATAATCTGTAAAAACATGGAAAATCATCAGACAAGTGGGCAGAATCTGTCTGCAAACAAAGAAGACGATGAATAATTCAGCTAGTAATGGTTTTATCATTCCAGGTGTTAGGAAGACTGATTGTTGGGTTTGGTGTGTCCTTATCTGCTACTGCCGAGTGTATCTACATATCTGAAATAGCACCTGCTGTGAGTTACTACATGATAATTAATGACACCTATATCATGCTTTGACTGTGATACRATAGTGACCAGGTGTGCTTACTATTCAGACTAATCTATATGATTGGAAATTTATTTGCTAATGGTACATTAGTCTACCGGAAGAACCAAAAAGAGTGGGGAAAGTGGATTACCTCAGATTATCAGAAGACTGAGTTTTCAGGAACTTTCTGATCAAATTACAGATGCTCTATATTTTGTCAACCAAAATTTCCAATTTTTCTTGGTAAATGGAAAGCACCCTRGCATTCAGAATAATAATTAAGAAGTACTGCCAATAGAGGTGGTCAATTTTGTGCCATATTCTGTTTTTCCTTTTATTTTCATTTCTTCTAAAAAAAGCAATGAAGCATAAATCATGGTATTAATTAATCAGTGTTATTGCTAGATCTCATGGTCCTTTTGAGCAAAAATATGAACAATTTTGAAATTGTTTTAACGATAAACACTCAGATGCATGAATGTTTATCTATTTTCTAGAAACTATCCAGAAGGAAAATAAAATTTCTTAGAAGTGGTCGATATACGAGGGCCCAATTGTGTGAATCGTGGGTAGTGCTATMAAATGGATAAATCCTTATGCAGTGGATAAGCCAATGCTGTTATCCAACAGATTTATCCACTGAATAAGATGTATCTGTCAGATAGCGCTATTTAACCTTCATACGACCGGGCATAGTAGATTACCTGGTGTTGTCCTATTCACAAAATAATGAAAATCCTTTTAATTTTGATTTCTGTTTTCATATTCGACATCRATTAACAGAAATGGCGAGGGATGCTTGTATCTCTCAATGAATTAGGAATATGTCTTGGTCTCTTGCTCGCTTATGTTGTTAATTTTCTATTCATTGATGTCCCATCTGGTTGGTGAGTATTCTTATCAATCATTATACAGTCACCTTGCTATGCATACTCTGATTGGGTGAAAACTGTGCTGTATTGGTGAACAGAGCATGGGGTTGATCTTAGAGCAGTTTTCTCATGACTGTTAAATGCACAGTGCAGTAAGCTGCCATGCCGTGACCATGATGTTTTCYAGAATTTTAATTGGCTGATTTTTTCTCACACAATGTGATTGGTCTGGCAGTGACATCACCTTGGCATGACCATGTCTGCGTCATGTTTTGGGTATTTGATTGGATGGAGAGTAAATACTCTCCATGCAATGAGATTGGTCTGGTGTATGCCTTGCTGTGTCAAGACCGTGTTYGTGCTGCCAACTTTTTACAGTCATATGAAAACTGCTTCATCCTCTTGATTGTGTGGAACATCTTATATGCTGCATTCTTCTCTTCACACTTYTTTTRWGCTGTTAAGTCACTCCCTACATGCTGTATTGCTAAACAGACTACACACAGAAAAAGGTGTTTTTCACTGTGTGGTAATGTTGTGGAATAGTTTTCCAAGGTTCTCCAGTTTTACTGGAGATAATTCAATAATTCCAAATTCTAATTTCTCATTGAGCACTTCAGTAATGAGCCTCTTGCTYAGGAGAAAGTAATGAGCCTGAAGTGCGATGACGTTTTACCCCCATCTCTAGACCATAATCCTTTTCACACTGCTTTTGTTCTTTAATTATGACTATTGTTCCTGTATTCTCTAAGGAATCAAAAATTTGAACATGAAAGAATTTTAAATGTTAACTATTATGGTATAGAGTCAGGGGTAAAACGTCATCTCGCTTCAGGCTTATTGCTCCCAGCATGATCGAACTAAAAAAAGATTACCTGGCTTTGCTCTGATTTACATGGTAATGATTTCTGTTTTAGGAGATATATGTTTGGTTTGTCAGGGATTCCAGCCCTGGTCCAAGGAATTGGAATGTTTTTTCTACCACAAAGTCCAAGATGGTTAATAGTTAATGGTCAGGAGGCAAAGGTACGTACATTTTAAATAATGGGTTTTCTGTAACACATTTTTGCCATAAAAAGATGAAAAAATAAATCAATGTCTCATATGCATAGCTGATAATCCTGGCTAATGAGTTAAAGATGTACATTGATGATGGTGTTGTTGAAGATGCTGCTGTTATAGATAATGACAATGGTGATGATGGTGGTGGTGGTGGCAGCGGTGGTGGTGGTGGCGGCGGTATTAGTGTTAATAATGATGATGCTGCTGCTGCTGATGATGATAGTTATGATGATGATGATGAGAAGGAGGAGGAGGATGATGATGATGATGATAGTGATGCTGTTGGAAATATACCTCRCTATAATTCATCATTTTTCATGTTTATTCAGGCTTGTACCAGTATACACCAGTTACACTGGATGGGTGATCCATATGAAGAGATGGCCAAAATCAAGTCTGGCATTCATACTACACATGTAAGTGAGATAAACCAGCCATGACAAAGACATYGTGTTGTTTCTGTTGAGCATTTAATGATACTGTGGGTCAGACAACTACAGATGTGTTTTCACATGCTTGGGCTTTAATTGACAGCCCTAAATCCAAACCCAAGCGTGGCTGGTCAAATGTTTAGCCTAGGAGAATCATTTACCASATGAAGTGGTCATTAATTTTACTAGACATTTGTGCGATGACCAGCACTTATTTGCAGCCTTGCCTCAGAGAACTCAAGAATTCATTGAGATTACTTAGTTTTTGCTTTTTTTCTACTTACAATACAGTAGTTAGTACATTTATTTTTTTCATTGTATCTTCAGCATTACAAATTCAAAGACTTGTTCAGTAAGACAGACAATATGCGACAAAGAATGCTTGTTGGGTGTGGTGTGATATTCTTTCAACAGGTAAGCAGCCATTACTTCATACTCACTGGAGCCATTAATACTGAAATGGTCACTAATTACCATTGTCATTACTAGCCTCCAGTGAAGGGAAAACCAGCACTGCCCTCATTAATYATCCCACTAAGTGCCTTTTTTTAGAAGACTTGCCATTCAGCGAGGCCCAATATTGTACGAAGGGTGGATAGTGCCATCCGACAGATAAATCCCATTCAGTGGATACATTTATCGGATAACTGTATTGACTTAGGCCCTGGCTAAACGAGGAAATATGTTTCCAGAAACATGTTTCCCTAAATGTTTCCTATGGTGGCCAAACTGTCAGGGAAACGATGTTTCCATGTGTCTTGGAAACATAWAATGTTTCTGCTGCACAGCAAAAACATTTTTTGCATCTTAGAAGTACAACTAGGCCCCGAAAAAATTCACACAAGACCGTAAATAACGTCTTTTAGAAGTTGTTATTTTCCTATCACTTCTAAAACCAATCAGACTGCGATTTTCATAATATTTTATCACAGAGGGGATGCTAATAAACGTACCATTATTTGTTCAGTTTACAGGTCAACCTACAGTAGTATATTATGCATCAACAATCTTCCAAGTTCTTGGGTTCCACAGTGGAGGAAAAGCTACTCTTGCCACTCTGAGTATTGGTTTGGCCAAGGTGGGATTTTAAAATTGATTGATTTATTTCTTTAGTGTTAGACTCTGTCACTCAAATCTCACTGCCATGGAAACCATCAGGTGTAGTTAATAAACCAGGGTCGTAATCAGGGGTCTTGCAGGGTGRGTGCACAGAAAATGAAAATAACCAACCTATGATTTAAGAAGAKATAACTAGCTAAAAACTAGTGTGAGCTGCGTCGGTGTTTCTAATGAAACAGTAATGATAAAAAGGTAAATTATACACCGTGAAAAATATGAAAAAACTTGCTGCGTTTGGGACGCTAGTCCTTCGTCGGAGTAAAAGATGATTTATGAGTTGCAAAGGCAACAACAACAACAACAACAACAACAACAACAAATATCAATAATCGATCCAATAACCAACGTAGAAAAAAAAGAATGAGTCAGCCGGCCTTCAGCTTATGCGGGGGGCTTCAAGTGCACCTAATAKTCTCTTTTCTCRTTCCGTAAATACCGCTGTGTTTTAAGACTGAAGACTCATCTCCGCAGGCTTAGCCTCGCTTAAGAGTAAATCATTTGCAAATGTCACTTTAATGTATAGAATGTGCAGCTTGAACAATACCAATGTTTTGAA